CTGGTTACTGCATAAACAATGAAAATATGCTAACACATGGCAGGCATAGTAATATGATATATATAAACATCTCAAGTGAAATGAGGCATGAGGTATGTCAAATTTTCCATTCAACAAGTACTTCTGCAACATATCCGCAAAACAGTTTTACTGCTTGAAACAGTTTGTTGACCATTTAAAAAACTTGATTTATAAGTGGCATAAAATGCAATTTCATTTATTATCCTAAGAAATCACAGAGACTGAGTCCCAAGAGCTGAACAGGGGGAAAAAGCCTTGGTTTTTAGCAAAGTTGCACCCAGAGCTACTAAAACTAAAGTCATATCAAATATAGCCCATTTTTACAGAAGCATACATGATTGCACTAACCTGTAACTGATGTTCATTTCGGGATAATCTGTGCAATCAAGCTTAGGGGAACTGTACCTTTGCAGGCCAGCCACATAAAATTCTTGAGTTTATCAGAATGCAAGGCACTCTCCCTTCCTCCCCTCCAAACTGTTTTTGCCACCTTTAGGTCATGTACAGGGGAAAAGAGGGCCCACAACTTATTTCTCCCAGATGCAAGAGGAGTCTGTAAGTAATAATGTATAGAGCTGACAGTAGGGCAGGACTGAGGGATGTACTAATAGGCCACAAATTTTCCACTGAATGTGTTAGACTGTTGAATTTATTGTCTTCAAATGCAACAAGTTGTGAACCAGTAATGTGTCTTGTTCTGTCTGATTTTCATAGCAGTTCTGTTATTAATGGGAACACACAGAACATTGCCCCATTCCATAGTACCTGGCATGTGTCCTGCAGGGATCGGTGGTCCTGAGGTGTTAGCGAGCAAAATTTCAGATATTCCTTGTTCACCCAGGTTATCATAGATCTATGTCTGGGTGACCCCAATGGTGAAAGACTGGGCAAAGATATTGATGTTGCAATACCCATTCACAGCCCCCTGACGACCTGCTCCAATGATCTGACAGCAGAATTCTGGAACCTGCAGGGTCAATTGACTGCCATGCCTCCCCATGAAGCTGCTTCCTCAGACATTCCTCCCTGGCTCCTAACTGGGGCTTGAATCCCTGATGAGTCCAGGCAGCTCCAGCTGCCAATGAAGTCAATGCCACCCAACCCAGAGGCACCCTCGGAACTGGTGAGTGCAGGGGAGTGGCTGTCGACCCCAGATAGTAACATTTCACCGTCATGCTTTTAAACTTTATTCATCCGCAATTTAATACTGGGACACCATCAGATGCCCAGATACGTGTCATTTCATTATCAAAGTAAATGCCCTGTAAAAACAGTTAAAGGCTTAACCTGCATTCCTAAAAGCACTTGAGTGCTTTTAATGCAGTTAAAAACAAGATGCATGATTACTCACTCCAGTTTATAGAGAACCACATTTGCAGTTACCAACAACCAAAAGAACCACATGCCTACTATATGGCTTGTGTGCCACCTCACTCAACACACACATGCAATAATATAAGATACCCATTAATATTCTATGTAATTCATTCAACCAATTGTATTCAACCAATTAATATTCAACCAGAAGAAGCACACGCCTACTATATGGCTTGTGTGCCACCCCACTCAACATACACATGTAATAATATAAGATACCCATTAATACTCTATGTAATTCATTCAACCAATTGTATTCAACCAATTAATATTCAACCAGAAGAAGCACACGCCTACTATATGGCTTGTGTGCCACCCCATTCAACACACACATGCAATAATATAAGATACCCATTAATACTCTATGTAATTCACTCAACCAATTGTATTCAACCAATTAATACTCAACCAGAAGCACATGCCTACTATATGGCTTGTGTGCCACCTCACTCAACACACACATGCAATAATATAAGATACCCATTAATACTCTATGTAATTCACTCAACCAATTGTATTCAACCAATTAATACTCAACCAGAAGCACATGCCTACTATATGGCTTGTGTGCCACCTCACTCAACACACACATGCAATAATATAAGATACCCATTAATACTCTATGTAATTCACTCAACCAATTGTATTCAACCAATTAATACTCAACCAGAAGCACATGCCTACTATATGGCTTGTGTGCCACCTCACTCAACACACACATGCAATAATATAAGATACCCATTAATACTCTATGTAATTCACTCAACCAATTGTATTCAACCAATTAATACTCAACCAGAAGCACATGCCTACTATATGGCTTGTGTGCCACCTCACTCAACACACACATGCAATAATATAAGATACCCATTAATACTCTATGTAATTCACTCAACCAATTGTATTCAACCAATTAATACTCAACCAGAAGCACATGCCTACTATATGGCTTGTGTGCCACCTCACTCAACACACACATGCAATAATATAAGATACCCATTAATATTCTATGTAATTATAACTCTACCTTTGCACATGTAGGGCTGTCTCCCCCACTACTGTTGAACCTTAGCCAGCCCTTGTGTATCTGCAGTGAGGGGAAGGGCTTCCCTCTCTGCCTTCCCACTCTCTCATTGACATGAGGCACAGCAGGTTGGGTGAGAGTGAGATTGTCAAGGTGCGTGAAGGAAGACCATCTGGCTGAGGAGAAAAGGGAGAACACCCATCCCACTATGGCCAGGTTGCTCTTTTCTTGGGTTTGTGCTGTGACAGTTTTATGTTCTCTTCTTTGCAGTCAGCTTGCTCTTCTGCTAGCAGTTGCTCTGGTGCTGGGGATGACAGCACAGAGGTTTTTTGTGCGGGGTGCTGTTACTTCCACGGCTGGAATGTGGCCCACAGATCAGGGAGGCTCATGGCTTACTCATCCGTTATTGTCTCCAGCAGCGGCTGTTTTAAGGTAGGAACCATCTGCCAGCCACAAGCCAAGCCAGGCAATGACCTTGCCCATAGGAAGAGTGCAACATTGGGAAGCCTGAGCCACTGAGAGACTAACCCTGTTCTGATATTAATGTTGCTATTTGTTAGGTTAGAATTTATTGAAACTGAAGTCACCATGTTTGGGAACAGATGAACTAACAGTTCAAACAAACAATTGTTAAAGTACTGTAGCTTACCATTACATTATGTGAAATTGACAACTGTACATTGTATTCAGCTAGTTCTTTCTTTTTTCCACCAAAGGTGACTTTTGCCTACACATTTTTAGTCAGTGCTCTATTTATGTATTGTCACATCCTTTCCCATGTACAACATTTTATTGTACAGCCACGGTACATTAATTTTTACAGTATAAACACGCTTTTCACAGTCAAAGACTGATTTTGAAGGGCCTGTGAATCACTCTTTATTAGACTGAGAGATGTTGAACTCCCATCCTTAGTGTCTTTTCAACTATCTAGCCTTAGTGACATAAATAAAGCTAAGTGAACCTTGCTAAATCAGACAGCCCAGCATTTTATCTTGTAATCCTCTTGACCATTAAATATTTTACTCTTATAAGCCTCTCGTATCTTTGATTGAATACTACCACGTCACTGATAAAATGCCATTGTTATGGCTTTTTAGTGCATAAGAATTGAATATTACTGGACATTAGAAAAAAAAAAACATGCAAAGAGGCTCAGTATCAGCTGATGTTTCCTCAGTTCTTGCATCTATCCCAGTATCACTGACAACTGAGATTCAAAGAAGTTACATACATTAAACAGCAGTTTCTATGTACCAAAAACAAACATTCAGTGACTCCCACTTTTTTTCCCCTAATGGCCTATGCCTTCTTTAATATGCAGTTTTAGGAAAATATGTTATAGGGGTATCTTAAAAATTTGAAGAGTACTACTTTAAAAACTCACTACTTAGGAGTAACTGCTAAATTAACTAAAGTCTGCATATATACTGCCATTTTAGACGAAAATTTAGCTGTTTTTAAAGTTGCCATGAGGGTCCAATCCTGATCAGTCTTGCGCTGCATTGGCACCAGGTGGCCTTACCCCCCTCCATGCATTTTCAAGTGCTGAAACAGCCCTCCTCCCCGAGACTTCTGCTCCCTATCGTAGTCTCTTTTATGTGCCAGGGTAAAACATTATTACATATCCAGCTTTTTAATTAAGAGGCTGGTATTTTAAAACAGTTTTTGCAATATTCTAGTCGAAAAAATGTTTTATGAGACTAATTTTAAGATGTTAATATGCTGTTTTTATGCCCTGGCTCAGTTTTTAATGCTGCATTTTTAAAAGCATTGTCAGCTTATAACAATTTTTATGCTTGTTTATATTTGATAATGTTTTACTTCACAAGCAGGTTCTCTGGAGAGGGGACAGAAATTCTCTAAACAAATAAATAAGTAAGGGGCTTTGATTATAGCATGCACTTATTGAGTATAGCATGCCCATCTGCCCGTCATAGTGGCACTGATCAACAACAAAATATTACTAGTTCAGTGCTAGAAAAATACTGCATCTCTGTAAGACAAATATTACATTGAGAAAGGCCTCTCTATTATACAACAAAAAACAACAAATGTATGAGGAAATGGATTTTGAACATTTTTTAAAAATCTTATATGTGAGATATATAATAGACCTTCCTTTAAGCTTTGGTATTAAAAGTTATAGCTAGTATCCAGAAACGTTGAAATATAGAATATGCATTAACGAATATGTAAAATAGATTAGATGCTGGGGAGAAACGTTTACTTTTTCTGTTCTATATATTTTGCACTGTATAATAATCCTAATATATAATTTATATAATCCCTCTTTTCCTTTTGTATTCCCTTTATATCATACTTTAGTTTCTAATATTTGCTTTCATATATATATATGAAAGCAAAAACAAATTTACTTTTATTGCAAAAAAAAGATTGGCAAGGCTCTTAGGCATATTTACGAAAAGAGGTATACAGTTATAAATCCCATGTTAATTATGAATAAAGTGTTTTTAGAATTATACTGAAATACACAATGCAATTGAATACTCATTCCCCACACTATCATATTCAATTGTTAAAAATAAAAGCCTAAGCAAAAAGTAATTTTAAGTACCTGCAAAGTGCAGTTCATCATTCGTATTATATAATCAAACTGCTGATGGTCCAGTATCGCTCGGTTTTGCTGAACATGGAGGCTTAGTTCCTGTGTTAAACACAGTCGAGCTGCTTTTCCTTTAAGTGCTCTCAGTGCAGCAGGCAAAGTCTGTAGAGATGAAAATATGACATTAGAAAGCTATGAAATAAACTACGCTGAAATACAAGTGTTTATTGCATTCTTTCTAAATAAAATATACCTGAGAACCGAACTTGCTATAGATTATCTATCCCTACATTAGTTCACCTTCTTTTCATATAGGCTTATCTCATAGGCAAACATCATTCTTTTTTGGTTTTGTTTTGCTAAATCCTGAAGTCTAAGGGGTTGGGTCCCAAAGCGTTTGTTCCATGTGACAGTGGAATAGCATTTCTGCTGGGGGGAGGGTGGTATGGTCTATTCTCCCTGCCACAGGAATGTCAATTAAAATGGCATACATTTTTAGCAACAGTAAAAACAATTTGTAGCCCTCTCCTCCTTGGTTAATTTGCAGAAGCAGAGTTTCCGGGGGTACAAGAAGGCACCAGGATGGGGAGAGACAAGAAAATCATGTTCTGCTCACTGTGTTCTATTTCCCACGACCTGAAGCCAACGTAAGGATTAGAAGGACATGTCAAGACTCAGAGCAGGTCCTTCTTTTTGTAGATCTCACAGTCCACAAAATAACATCCACAGTGTATTAAGCTGGGCAATACAGGCCAGTGCCCAGTTAAACAGATTTTTAAGGAGGTGTGAACAACATTGCAACAAACTCGGGGAATATCAGATCAGAAGAATGAATTGCAGTTTCTGTGCTCTTTGAGATACCTAAACCGAGTCTTGTTTTATTCTGATTAATTATTAGTGCTACAAGCATGGCTAGGCAAATAGGGTTGCCAGGTCCTTACCTTGCGCTAGCAGGGGGGTAGTAGGGAGCTTTCTGGGAGTGGGGGGGGGCAGGGTGATGTTGCTGAGTGCAATGTCCCTTATGTGATGATGTCACATGCTGGGGGTGTCACGCAGTGACACTATGGTTTTTGGGCAAACTCTATGGTAAAATTGGCTCAAACCATAGAGTTTTGCCCAAAAACCAAGTTGCCAGGCAACATCCCTGCTGTGGTGATGTCACTTCTGCGTGATGCCATCACGTCGGGGACATTGCATGGGGTCATAGCTTTGGGGGTGGGGCTTTCCCTGCTGGCCAGCTGGCTGGCAGCAGGCAGGAGCCCACAAAATAAGGGGATCCTTTACTGCCACCTGAGGATTGGCAGTCCTATAGGCAAATCACAAATCATTATACTGCCATATAACTCAATGAATTTCAGTACCTCTCCAAGAATTCACAATGGAGAACTAGCACTACCTTGTCTGTTACATGGGACATGTAATCACCCTCTCCTTCAAGTGCTAGACTATTCAAATTTTGTTTGTCAAGAAAAGCAACTAAATACAGCTCAGCAGCACCCCATGAATGACTGAATTTGCATGGAAGAATGTACGTACAACTTAAGCTGACAGTATTCAGAGGACATGACCTGATGGTGTAAAAAAACTATCAGACCGACCTTGTCCAATGCTACTTCTCGCATTGCGTGACAAAGTTAGTGCTTGAGCCTGGTTGCTTCTGGGGAGGTAAAGTAAACAGTACTATGCCCAAGGGCAAGGGGTACCTCCTACCACATGCTAAGAAAAAAAACCCCTGACCAGAGGGGTACCTCTTGCAAAAGCATGTATAGATAACATGCTAAAACAAGGATGTTTGTACACACAAACATACAACAGCACCTTTACCCCAGCACTGGTACTTCAGTCTCCTTCAGTCTGACACTTGCTGAAAACACAAGTAAATGTATTTTAAAAAAAGGATTAGAATCTGGTGGGTTAGGGAACAGGCAGTCAACCACTTAATACACAACAAGTATAACTTGGAAGAACAATTCAAATAGTTGTTTAACAAAATCTTTATTACCTTTTCAGTCTCCAAAATTTTATTTTCAAATACAGAAGAGATACAGTTTCTAACAACTTCCAGCCTTTGAGCGCTGTTGAAAACTGTGCTTGACTTTTCTGTTATAGAAACTAACAAAGAAAAAAGTAGAAACATATTTGAAACAATCAAATATTTAAACCATTACCACTAAAGAGGTGCCACGATTCTATAGAGCCTTAAAAATCACTCTTTGCAGGCTTTTGGCCTAGTCTATCTGAGCTGTGAATGGTATCCATAACTTGAACAAAATGAGAAATAGAAAAACAAAAGGCAGAGGGTTGGATCCAGTGTTCCCTCTAAGCTGAGTTAGTGTGAGCTAGCTCATGGTTTTTTAGCCTCCAGCTCACACATTTTTGTCTTAGCTCAGGAAGGATGGCTCCAGAGCAAATGAATTTATGCAGTAGCCAAATTGCTCGCTCACAACTTTAGTGCCAGTAGCTCACAAAGTGGAATTTTTGCTCACAAGACTCCACAGCTTAGAGGGAACATTGGTTGGATCCAGGTTAAATTTGCAGTTTCTGCTGATTCCTGTTGCGGACCTCATGCATGTAATTCTGCAGGCTCCCCTATCTTCCTGGAGCAGTATTTTGTGGTGATCTGTAGGCTGCAATCAGAGGCAGAAAATTTTCATTCTGCCACTGGAAAGTTTAATTTGGATCCAACCCAAAGGTTTGTGTCCTATCACCCTGGGTAAGCAAAGTCTGAAGCCGTCCTCTGATGGAAACAGCAGAAGAGCCAACTCTGTCAGATGAACAACACTTATGCCGAAGCCTAGTCTTTGTGGAGAAAAGTGGTAGGATACAAACCACAGATTTAGCTTTTGTTCCTATACAGGAACATTTGCATTTAGGCTTGCCAAGTCCCCCCCGGGGGGGGGGCGGGGAAACCCCCGCCCCAGAGGCCCGTTCCCCGCCGGTGGCAGATCGGGCCCCGGGGGGAACCCCACCCCGATGTACACGTCACCCGGAAGTGACATGACGATGCCGGGCACGCTGGGGGCGGGGCCACAGTCATCCGAGGGAAAACTCTATGGTTGCCAGATGGAAGTCCCCCTCTGGGGCTCGAAAACAACTTGGCAACCCTATTTGCATTCCAAGGTATAGAAGAACTTCTTAGGTAAATTCTCAATGGTATGATTAATTGATTCCCTGCTCATAATACAGATGAGCATTAAAACTTTGACAAATTCATGTTCCAAACCATGTAAAGCAAAATTTGGCAACATTATTACATGATAGATAGGGATGGTTCTCATACCAACAGGTGGGCCAGCAGGAACAACACATTTCCTTTCTATCCGAGTAGCAGGTGGTACACTTTGGTTCTTAGCTAACCCTTCCTGGATTAGGTCCTGGACGTGAGCCTCATTAATCTTAGGGAAAGGAAGTACATGAACTCGCAGATGTGATCCTTCTGTAGGTCGTGGAACTTTCTGAAATGCCATGTGAGGATTTGGATTCTCCTGTAATTAAAAAACAAACAAACTAATGAATTTGTTTGATCAACACTTTATCAACAATGTTTGATCAACACTTTAAAGAAGTACGGCATAATGGATGCAGCAGGACTTTCCTTCTACAAGTCATACGCTGTTGACTGAAACACTATCAGACACATTGGATGATGAGAGAATAATAAGGGGTGTGAGCACCACTTGTAACTGGTATAATTGGTACTGCACCTCTACAACTGAAGCATTTTAGAATCTCTAGGGTTTATATTGCACCCAGCATTACTGCTGGATAAGCAAATTAACGCAGCTGCAAATAATGCTTTCTCCCAATTTGGTTTTGCCTGGATGATGGCCCCCCTCCCTACCTTGACTTGGCTGATCTGGCCACCTGGATCCATGCCACAGTAATACCAAGATTAGGCTACTGTAATGCATGCTATATATGTCTCCCCACAAAATCAACTCGGAAACTCCAGTTACTGCTGAATGCCACCATTTGGTCATTATCAGGAACTAGGGCTGCCAAATCCCCCCGGAGGGCGGATTTCCCCCCGCTTTGGAGGCCCGATTTCCGCTGCCGTGGAATCGGGCCTCGGGGGAAACCCCACCCCGGCGTGCACGTCAGCCGGATGTGACGTGATGACGCCGGGCACGCTGGGGGCGGGGCCACAGCCATTTGAGGGGAAAACATAGTTTCCCCCTCAAATGGCTGTGGCCCCGCCCCCAGCGTGCCCGGTGTCATCACGTCACATCCGGCTGACGTGCATGCGGCGCGCACAGAGGACGCCGAACGGGAGCCCCCCGCCGCGAGGTAAAAACAATTTGGCAACCCTATCAGGAACCCAGAAGTGCATGCATATTAACCCTTTCTGCTGCCACACTGTTGGCTGCCCCTTTAGTTACTGGGTTCCGTTCAAGGTACCAGCCACCACATGCAAAGCCCTTCATGGCCTTGGACCCTCATATCTGCAGAACTGCCTCTCCTTCTATGCCCTGCAATGACAACTTCACTCATCTGAACAGGGCCTTCTACTGATGACACGCTGAAATGGGCAAGAGCAACAACTGCCTGTACATGAACATTCTCTGAAGTGGCCCTGATCCTACGGAATGGTCTGACTGAGGTCAGGAAGGCTCACTTACTTTTGGCTGTCTGCAATCTTAAACAACTGTTCAGGAATGGATGTTTATAAAGGAACAGGGCTACATTATAACAGGATGATTCAGAAAGATGTTTCAATAGAGAGAACAGGACTGTGGATTTATACTACTAATATATATTATCTGATGCTGTATATTTTTGTCTTGTTCTCATTTTGTTGTATTTCTACTAACGTAATACCATTTCATGCATTGCTTAACATGCCATGTTTAATACTTAAGCCTTGTATCAGATTTCTATGATGTTAATCCTATTACATTGACTATTAGATGTCTCCTCATTCTATTGCATTATGTAATCTGCTTTGAGTCTGGGTGAAATTGTTTTGGGGCTTGTTGTCTCTCTTACAGCAGACCCCCAGCCATGTATATTCATGGATTGTATTGGTTTTAAACAAATTGAGATCAGTAATTAATGAAAAAGTTATTGATAGTCTAATTCTAATTAATCACCTAAGGCCACTCTTTTGAGTAACGCTGAATTTAAAAGTAGGCTGGTTCCTCCCCCACCATCATATCCTTGCAAACCCACCACTTCTCTTCCCCCCCCCAATTATAATGCTTATCAGATAATGAATGAATGTCTGATTGGATGAGTTAATGAATGGACAAAGAGCCTCATTAGGGAAGAATAATAAAGTGGAAAAAATTCAAAGAAGAATCATGTTTCTGTGGGAGACCACCAGGTGCACAGTTCTCAATGCCAGACACACAAATTGCTCTTTAGCTTAAACCTGGCAAGTCTCTTCTACAATGGGGGTTATTATGAAGAGAACAGCAAGCCAAACTTTTGTGCATATAACTTCCTGACATATAAATACTAGTCAGTGACATGCTTGCATTTCTCTGTGCTAGCTTTAGTTCATGTCGCAAAGGCAGACATGCTATAAGAAATCTTTAGTGGAGGAATAGCTTACTTTTTACTCCTTATCTACAGCTGCTATCTATCTAGACCATTTCTTCTCTTGTGAAATTTATTCCTTTCAAGCTTTAGTACTTGGCTGCATATGAAACCAAAGTGAATGACATATATATTCAGGGCTATTTTGGGGCAGGAACGCACAGGAACGGAGTTCTGGCTAGCTTCAGAGTTGGCCACACCCACTACATCCAAAAGCTCTGTGTGCGTGGCTATAGAGGGAAGGCCTGGAGAGCGACTCCCCCGGTGACTCTGAGGCAGGCGGGCCAAGGGGGCCCCTGGAAGGATCAGGGAGATATTTAAATGCCTCCCCGTGCCTTCCCTGGCCTGTCCAAAGGCTGGCTTGCCTGGGCTCCCCGCAGCCGTGGGGCACCCAGGCAAGCCAAGGGAAGGCAGTTTAAACTGCCTTCCCTTCCCTTCAGGGGGGGCTTGCCTGGGCTCCCTGCAGCCACGGGGCACCCAGGCAAGCCAAGGGAAGACATGGGGTATGGCCTAATATGCTAATGAGCTACACTGTCAGGGGTGTGGCCTAATATGCTAATGAGTTCCTGCTGGGCTTTTCTACCAAAAAACCCTGTATATATTCTCTAACATGTCCGAGAGACAGTGTGGTGGACTAAGGAGGCCCAGGTTCAAATACTCCCTCTGCCATGAACTTTACTGGGTGACCTTGGGTCAATTACTCTCTCTCTGTAACTTCTTAAGAGCATAAAATAAAGGAGTGGAGTCATGTATGCTGTCCTAAGACTGGCAGAGGAAGGACAGGAGAAAATAAATATAATAAATACATTTTAAAGTAAAGGATTTAACTGGTGATGCATGATTTGAACAGAATTTCATTTATTTACCCTGCCATTTACTTTAGAATTAAATCAATTTGTATAATTTTATTGTTCAAAAATGTCCATATTGTTATCTTAGGTTTTGCTTTAAGTATACATGTATGGAAAAGAAAATTGTAAATATGAGTTAAAAATATCAAAGTTCCAACATGAAGCCTTTCAGAAAGAGATTAATAACGGAAGATTGTACTGATGACTGTGGCACATCATTTCTTCTAACACCATATTTCAAAAATGGCTTCCTATCAAAAAGGCAGTAAACGTGACCAACCTGAAGACAAGGTCAGGTTTCTACATACTTAACAGATTCCTTGGGCATACAGAAATAGTTTATATGTAGAGATATAGTATATCAACTAATAAATATATTAGTTTTTGAATATAAATAAATTTGCATTTTTAAATATAAACTATATAAATACAGTTTATAAATTTATAATAGTTTCTACATTTATTAAAAACAACAACAACACTCCAGGCTGATGAGGACCGTGAAGGCTCACTGGCTTGGAAAGTGAGAGCAGCAGAAAGTCAGATGGGGTGGGGAAGACTGAGCAAGAGAAGGGAAAAACTGTATAGTATCCCCAGGGGTCATTTCCTGCTGGAGCAGAGCTCCGGCAGTAAAGAGCCCAGGGGGTGGGTACATGCAACAAGCCCCACCCCCTGCTCCCAGCAGCCCTCAGTCAGAGCAAGAAGCAGCCAGGTAAGTTGCAGTCCTCCCCCTGGCCCCCCAAAACAGTCCAGTGGCACCTTTAAGACCAGGTTTTATTCAGGTACAAGGTCTTCCTGCTCTGCGAGGGCAGATCTGCACGTCCCCTCCCCCAATAGCTAGCAATCCAAAACAGTCCAGTGGAGCCTGAGCGGTGGGTGTTGCCTTCTGACACACTTCCGGTGATGTTAGAGTGTGTGGCATATGCAAATGAGTTATGCTAATGAGTTATGCTAATGAGCTCCTGCACCTCTTTTTCTACGAAATGACCCCTGAGTATCCCTAATGGATACTTCTGAGTTGGAAAGTAATTCAGGTTTATCTCTCATCCTCCATAATTCTCCATGGGCACCTGCTTGTCTGAAGAGCCCTGATGGATCAGACCAATGGCCTATCTCATTCAGCATCCTGTTTTGTAGAGTGGTCAACCAGCTACCCTGAAGAGCCAACAGATAGGGCATGAAGGCCAAGGTCTTCTTTTGATGTTGTCTCCTAGCACTGGGTATTCAGAGGTTTCCTCCCTCTGACTACTCAAAGTTTCCTTTAGCCATCATGGCTAGTAGCCATTTAGATACCTAATCCTCCCTGAATGTATCTGTCTAAACCATCTTTAAAACCATCTGTGCTCATGGATATTACTCTGCCTACTATTTAATTACTCATTCAGCAAGCAGGGCTTTTTTTTTTTTTTAAGGGGAATGTGCCAGAACAGAGTTCCAGAAGCTCTTCGACAAAATTCTTTTAAAAATGTTTAAAAGTTCATGAGTTTTTAGCGTACAGATTGAAAACTTCATTTCCCTCTTGAGAGTTCTGGCACCTCTTTTATATATAAAAAAGTGCCCTACAGCAAACTAGTACTTCCTTTTGTCTTTCCCGAATCTATTGCCAAATCATTGGGTGCCCCTGAGTTCTAGTATTAAGGGACAGGAAGAAATGTTATTTGGACAAATGTTAAATTAACTAACATCTATTAGTGTAATTATAATGAGAACTGCAACTTCAACACATTTTGCAGTTGACAGTTATACTTTACATTACATCATTCAGAAACATTATAAGGCTAATCACTATTTCAATTTTAACATCTCCAACCATTTGAAGTGAAATGTTAGTCACATGAATTTATCATACTTACATTTTTGAATAGCTGCTCTGCAAGTTCTCTAACATGTTTTAACATTTTTGATGAAAGGCTTTCCTCAGATTTAATTCTCTCAACTTCATATGCTACCAACTTTGAAAAAGATAAAACTATTAAAATATTAAAATAATAATGTTATAGATTTAAAATGATATTAACATGAACTTCATTGTGAAATACAGGTATCACCATTTTTATGCTTCATAGAGACACGCCCACAGAGAAGCAACTCAGGAAGTACAGCCATTTCCCAGATGGTGCATGACTTAAAATGGCCGACATATGTCAGTATCATCATCTATACAGCCCTATTAATATGTAAGATCCTTCACAATTCCTGTATTGAATGTATGCTGTGTTATTAATGCTACAGGGAGGTTATACAGAAATATATTCGGTCCTGTCTGCATTATGAAAAATGATTAAATCAATCTTTATGCCAGAAATGTATGTAGGGTCGCCAGCCCCCAGATGGGGCCTGGAAATCTCCTGCTTTTGCAACTGATCTCCAGCTGACAAAGATCAGCTCCCCTGGAGAAAATGGCTGCTTTGAAGGGTGGACTCTACGACATTGCACCATGCTGAGGCCCCTCCCCTCCCCAAACCCCACCCTCTCCTGGATCTACCCCAAAAGTCTCCAGGTATTTTCCATCCCAGACCTGGCAACCCTAAATACATAAAATTCCAGTCATGCCAGTTACGAAGGCAAATCCACATTTGACAAGTTTCCTAAAGCTATTGTTTATTAATAACTTCCATAATAATATGTTTCAAGAAAATTTATCTTTTTTTTTTTAAGTTCCAAATGGGCCTTGAAGAAGTTATTTTTACACAGAAGTAATTTTTATTTATTACAGCTTAAATTCTGCAGAGGATTCATTATGCAAGTGAATATTCACTACTGGCTTTAATGAAGTAACTTGTACTCAAGGAGTAATGCTGAATACAAGGACTGCCCTACAGTTTCATCCTAAACAGAGTTACATCCTTTTCCTACCACTGAAGACACTTGGCTTAGAATGACAATGTTTGAGTCTTTCACAGCAATATATCACAAGTCAGCAACATAAATCTTTTGATAAATTAGTCATTATTTTTCTAAGCATGCTAGCTTATTACTCGACTTTCAGTTGTGCCTTAACAAAGAGTTATACCTCATCAAAAAGATCACATGATCTGTAGGGAGGGCCTCTATCTGACACAAAACCAGCAAACGCCATTCCGTTCAGAACTTTGGTAAGGAAATCATTCTCTATCAAGCCTCGTTGGCCCAAGAAGGCTGCCTAGAGATATAAATAAACCTTAGCGTTAAAAATCAGGAGCAAAAAGCATAGTTAAAGTACAAGGCAAATGATGTGGACTTAGTGCTTTTAATAAAACCAAGTAGTGAACTAACATAGCATCAAGATTAGTGTAAACAGAAAAAATTCCATCAAGGCAACATGCTTGTTCCAAATATGTTTGGAATGCATTTAGAAGTCTGCTTTCTTTCAGCAAACAGAAATTGTGCAAGGTAAGATACAAATAGTTACATGCTAAATTTATTCAATTAGCCGTGGGGCAAAGAATCTAACTGGTTCCAAAACAAAGCTGGATAAGATTTTTTTTCCAGTTTGGTACTTAGTTAGCACCTATTGAGATAGGTACCTACCTAATACAGTGACCCCCCCCCCAAACCTTGCCCCTCCTCTCAGATATCAGAGTATGAAATGGGAGAAATGAAAGTAGAATGCTGGGTGGGGTAGATTTCTGCTAGATAGCCAAGAAGATTTATTTTGGAAAAATAATTTGGTGGATGAATTTTGTTTTGATCTCAGAGTCTGGTTGGATCAGCAAAATTCCCCCCTCCCCCAACACCAGATAGGCTAGGATGTCCTGGGGGCATTGTTTCTTTGTTTTATCCTTCTCTCATAGAGCGCATTTTGGCTCACTTGCTGGAGCCATCTGGATTGTTTTACAATATTATTCACTGAACCCTGCAACAACATCTAATATAAAGTATGTTATTCATTTCTACACTCTGCTAGCAGCACACTAATTCAGACGGAGGATGTACATTAATCTGTCATCATTTCCCATTTTTATTTGTACATTAAAGTATTCATTATAGGAATGAAAATGGTACGAATGATTTGTAAACGTCAACAGCATGAACTGCTGTTTTAAGTCTGGTCAAGTTGATAAAAATTAGCTTCTGTGTTCTGCTCAATACCTCTCCCCCTCCCACTTTTCCTAATTAGAGATGACCTGTTTACTGATATATCAATGTGGAATTTTGTTAGTTTCTGCAACTGACAGCTGCATCTTAGAATTCTTTTTAGTGTAAATATTTTGCTAACTGTTAAAATCTACCCTTTTCCTCCCCAGAAAAGAGTATGACATTGCCAACAGCCTGTTTCCATCAAAGCAGTGATTTGGATCCTATGGAATGTGTACATTAGGACAAGGTTCTACTACTCTTTCCTCCAACAGTTCCCTGAGGCTTTCAAAACACTAATACTGGAAGTTGTGGGATTCACTGTAACAAAAGAGCATTTAGCCCGAAGGGTCCACTGAAGAAGGTAAACCAGAAGAAACCTCCCTCCCCTTTCCACATTGGAAATTGCATTGGCACAGCAGCAGTGCAAACCTTTGGTCCCCACCCTTTTGTTCATGTGAGCCCCACAACCTCTTGTATTAATGTTTCTAATATCTCAGAGGCCTACTGAAGGAAAAGGGAAGGCAGGAAAGAGAGGAAGGCGCTCCAAGCAGCGTACCATAAAGCATCTGGGCAAGTGTTTTAGCCTTAAAAAGTTTTATAGCTGCTGGTACAAAGTATCCCCCTTGGGATCTGAAAAACTTAAGTATACCGTGAGAGGATTTTTCACCCGAGCATGCTGCTGCCTGGCTATGGGCATGCTTCATAAAATCCAAAATAATGAACGATTCTCAGGTAATTTAATCCCAAATCCTTTACCTGTACATCGGATGTTAACACCTTGTTTATATACAACACATAGCACTACCTATTTAAATAGCTGCCCGGTTGGATACAGTGACTTTTACTTCATTCAAAAAGGAGAAGCCTGCATTTTTTAAAAAGTAGTTTCCTCAGAGCTTCTCAATGGTGCTTGGAGCTGCTTTCTCAGCCCTCTGGAGCCAATGTGAGTGATCATTCCCCTTCTTCCTCCTGGAGCAACCACATGGCTAAGGCCATCTTAAAAATGGTCAAAGTCTTTATCTGCAAGTAGCTTTTTGAGCCCGGGCCTGGATTTATATCTGACACATCACCAGGGATCACAGTGTCAAAGAACAGAAACTAAACTATCACTGTGAATAATGGCTACTGTGCTTTATAATGAAGTTACATTACGTATAGTCCTTACACGTTAAGTAGATAACAAAGATAGCACAACAATAATGTGATCCTGTGATGTAAATTAAGACAAAGTCCCAGCCTTGAAATGCTACAGAACAGCTTCTGTAATGAACCAATGAGCATCCAGATATAAGCCCGTTTTGTGATTAATCTTCAGAAAGATATTCTTAGTAAGTCTTCCTCTGTAGTTATTTCCCTAGAATTAACTACAAACATTACAACATTGTCACAGTAATCCATGGTCACCTCCAGGCTGGATTATTGCAATTTGCTTTATGTGAGGCTACCCCTGAAACTGACCCGGAAGCTCCAACTGGCACAAAATGCGTCTGTGCAGGTCCTTACGGGGACCCTACAGAGGGCACATATCCATCCAGTGCTGTGTGAGCTGCACGGGTTGCCAGTGGAGCACTGGATCAGATTCAAGGTTTTGGTGCTTACCTTTAAAGCCCTTCACCGTCAGAGACCTACGTACCTTCGGGACTGCCTCTCCCAATATGTCCCCTGATGGGCATTAAGATCAGCAGATAAGAATCTTCAGGTGGTTCCCAGACCCAAGGATATCTGGCTGGCCTCAACCAGGGCCAGGGCCTTTTTGACCTGGCCCAAGCCTGGTGGAACTTTGTGCCGAATGACATATATGCCCTGTCTGACCTATTAAATTTTCGCAGGGCATGTAAGGCAGAGATGTTCCTCCAGGCCTTCGGTTGAGACCAGCAATGGTTCCTTACATCTGTCTGGCACTCTCCCCCTCCTCCTCCCAAACTGAATGCTTGATGTGCCATCTTGTTCTTAAAATGTTTTCAAATATTTATGTTTGAATGTTTTTAATATTGAATTTGATGGTTCTAATTGGTTTTATAATGTATTGAATTATTTTGTTGTAAACCACCCTGAGCCCCATGTAAGCGGGGAGGGGAAGTCAAGAAATCTAATGAAATAAATAAATAAATACATAAAGGCAGGCCACCATGTAGCTGAATTTAAATATTCTACAGGGATAATCTAAATATTCTACAGAATAATAATTTAAATATTCTACAGAATATTTAATTTAAATACTCTACAGAATATTTAAAAACTAGACTATTTAGATTTAGCTATTATTTATAACTCTGCATTTATATATGAAGCAAGCCAGTTCTTTAGTCTTTTCGTAATATGGTGTGTACACATTTACTACAATTTACAAATGTAACACTAAAAGGGCAATATATGTTATTTTATGTCCATGTCATGGGATGAGTGTACGTGCCATAAAGACATGCATTATAGAAAATAGATCATGAATCCATAATAAGAACATGGAAGCACTTTTGGTAACACATTTCATAGAAAAGGGACACTCTGCTGATGATTTACATTTCTTTATACTAAGCAAATATGTATCACAGGCATATAATCACTGTGATGTTCAAAAAATATTATTTCGCTAAGTGGCGGCTTGGATTTATAGGTTAAAAACGTATATGCTCCATGGACTTAATACAAATTTAGATTTAACATGTTATTTATAGGACTTACTTCTTTAAGACTATTTGTAATGTACAACACTGCACAGTAATAGATTACACCTGTGAATTCTTCTTCTATTGATGATATCATTAGAAATGTATTGAGAACAAATGTATATGTATTATATTCTACTAGAAATAAGGCCCGTTGTGGAAATAAATACAACGAGCTCTAGAAAGAGGCTCTGGGCAGGTGACCCGGCCTTGGGCACTCAGTGTCAATTTGCTGTGGTGACCTCAGCAGGGTATAATGACACAGAGTCCACTGTTTCCTCCAAGGGAACTGATCTCTGCTATCTGAAGAGCACTTGTAATTCTGAGTTATCTCCAGCCCTCACCTGGAGATTGGCAACAATGGTTCCCCTGGAGGAAATGGATAGTTTGGAGGGTGGAGTCTATGGCATTGTACCTGTCTGAGGTCTCACCCCTCCTCACCCCTAGCTGGAGATGCAGGACTCTGTGTATTGTCAGAGATTTAGGTTCTTCACATGCATGCAAAAGCAAGAACAACAGTCTGTTCTACAGCATGTAGCAAAATATTGGAACATAATTATTTTACAAGGCAGCTGCTGCATTAGTAACTCCACAATGTTAGTCAGTCAGTAAAAGGCGAAAGATTTATGCAATCTGAAGAGAAACCACAATGTTAGTAATTCCTTTAAAAACATAAAAACTGCAAAACTATGTAAATGCTGATTACTTGGCTTTTATATTACCTTGTGAAAATTTATGACAGGTTCTGAATGAATTCGGATAAGCTGAAGGCAAGATCTGTATCCTTGGAAAAGCTGTGCAAATAACCTAAGAAAGACTGCTCGCACTTCTTTATCCTGATGAAGACAAGAAAATTGAGTGGAATTACCTTTAGTTAAAAACCAACATAGAAATATACAGAAATCCAGTATGATTCCCAAGAGGCTGGAAATCCAGGAGTAAATTTAAAGTTAAAATTATAAACTTCTTTCACATGCATTCTAATGGTACAAGGATGCACCAGGGGCGTTTAACAAATTGTGTGTGGGAATGGGGGGAGGAAGAGAAGGGTTGTTCGTTAACACTTTTTTTGGTTGGGGAAGGGCGGAGAAGGGCATATTAAAGATGTTGGAGTATCTTTATTCTCATTCTCTTCCTAACTTTTCATGGTCAAAGATCTCAATCATCTCTCTTAAAAGGAAGATCTTGCATTGAAAAACCTTACCCCTACTAGAGAGTGTGTGTTTGGGCCTACCGTAGCTCTGAAAGAGCTGTTGGTTCTTGTAAATCTTTATTTATTTTATTGAATAATTGCTAGCCCTCCCTCTCCTGCACGGCAGGGCTCAAGGCATGTTACAAAAATAATTATACAACAATTTAAACATAGTTACAAAATATAATTATACAATAAATTTAAGAATTAAAACATAATTACAGAATATTAATCTATAGTAGACCAGATGGCAATCAGGCACAATTAATAGGTGTGACTGCTCAGAATAAAACCAGATCCCAAGCAAGTGGACAAGAGCCGCAGACAATAGCACAAGATGAATGATGCCAGGCAGAGTAGGGGAGGCTGAGGTAATTAGACACTCACTGCCTCAACCATAGGCCTGGGGAACATCTCCATTTTACAGGCCCTATGGAACTGTAACAAGTCCGGCAGGGCCCTGATCTCAATAGGGAGGGGTGTTCTACCAGGCCGAAGCCAGAGCCAAAAAGTAGATGCTGATCTGCTGAGTGTAGATGTTGATCTGCCAAGCGTAAAGCTCTTCGAGGGACATATTGACAGAGATAGTCCTGCAGATATGTTGGTCCCACACTGCACAGGGCTTTAAAGGTTACTACCATAACCTTGAACTTGAAAGCTAATGTAGCTGGCAGAGTATTGGTTGTATATGTGCTCTTTGAGGCATCCCTGTAAGGACACGCTCCGCTGCACTTTGAACCAGCCAGTTTCTAGGTCAACTCCAAGGGCAGCCCTGCATAGAGTGAGTTACAGTAGTCCAGTCTGGAAGCAGTGACGGACTTCACATTCCTGTAATCCAAGATCACTGCAGACGGTGACTGCAACCATAAAATTAAAAGACGACTGCTCCTTGGGAGGAAAGCGATGGTAAACCTAGATAGTATAATAAAAAGTAGAGACATCACCCTGCCAACAAAAGTCTGTAAGTGAAAGCAATGGTATTCCCAGGAGTAAAGTATGGCTGCGAGAGTTGGATCATAAGGAAGGCCGAGCGCCGAAGAATAGATGCTTTTGAATTATGGTGCTGGAGAAGACTCTTGAGAGTCCCTTGGACTGCAAGGAGATAAAATCAGTTAGTCCTAAAAGAAATCAACCCTGACTGTTCCCTGGAAGGCCAGATACTGAAACTGAAGCTCAAATACTTTGGCCACCAATGAGAAGGGAGCACTCACTGGAGAAGACCCTGATGCTAGGAAAGATTGAAGGAAAAAGAAGAAGGGGACAGCAAAGGATGAGACGGTTAGACAGTGTTATCAATGCAACGAACATGAAATTAAGCAAACTCCGGAGCATGACGGAAGATAGGAGGGCCTGGTGTGATGTGGTCCATGGGGTCGCGAAGAGTCGGACTTGACTGTGCGACTGAACAACAAAATAGTAATGATGGCTAAATGGAACCTGGATATTCAGAAGCAGTATAACACTGAATATAAGCTTTCAGGGCAACAACTCAGGGGAGGCTTTGTTCTCTGCCCTCCAGCTTGCGACTCTCTGGGACATTTAGATCCTTTGAAAAACAGGATGCTGGCCTAGATGAACTATTGGTGTAATCAAGCAAAGCACTTAATAGTCTTTAAAAGATGTTTTGCGGATATGTTGGAATAGCCCAAGCCATAAGTTGTAGCATTTTTTATGAAATTTAATTTTCCATGTTCACTGTATATAGTCACAAGTACTCTTTATTCTATTACTATAATATTACAAAACCCTACCATTGAGAATAGGGTGGGGGGTTTAGCTACATTGGGTTTTGGAACGATTTAATGAACTATTCAATAAAACAAGCCGTTTCTCGAGGCATGACTCGTGATGCCCAAAATGTTGACTCTGAAAGGAAGAGGGGAGAAAATAGGCAAGAACTTAGTATAAAAAACGGTACTATTTGGCATATTTATGGAATTTAACAGTATGAGTGACCATGTTCTCTAAAAGAAAAACTACATATATACCCAATACTTGAGAAAGAGTTGCAAATCGCTGCACCTTATGCTACCACAGCCCATGTATCTAATAGAAGTTGAAGGTAGAAAATTCTGTAGTAAATGAAATTGAATTATTTAGATAGAAACACTCATACAGTCACAATAGGTAGGACTACCAGCATATTTGGATCTTAAGTTAAATTTTATAACAATGAAAACACTGAACTCTTTCACAACTCCTTATTAATAAATTAATTGGTGCCAACATTAGTTACATTTAAACAAAAATGTCATTTATGTCTACAGTATGCATAGAAAATTACCACTATCTTATCCTGTAGGTGGTCTTAAATCAATTTTTTCATACTACATATTTTGAGTAAAACCTTATCCCTTTCACTCATGGGATTTATTTCAGTGTTCCCCCAAATTCCCCAATTTTTCCATTGGAAAAATGGAAAAAGTTATATATTTTGAATGTGAAAAACCATTGCCTTAAAAAGCATTTAATCATTTTAAAAGAAAAAACATTTCACAGGGTTTTTTTGAAAATTGAAAAAAGTCCTTACCTGCTAACATTTTAATCTATCACTATTTCTTAGTCTCTTCTTGCCAGAATGAATTAAATCACAATCTCAAGAACCTGCCTTGAGCTTGCACTGGTGCTAAACCACAAAACAGGAATTTTCATGTTTAGGGACTAAAAATGTATCATTAGGCAGACTCCTAAACATTTCAGGATAATGCTCAAATAACTCACCCTTAAGAAACTGAGTAAAAATAAATTAATGTTAATTTATAAACACAGTTTCATTACTTAAGGATAAGGGGAGACCTTCATTTCCCTCCTGTTTATTACCAAGTTAGAAATTGTGTATCTTACCAGCATTTTGGAATGTGATGCAGCTGATCGTGGTGGAGGAAATGCATAATCTGCTGTTTCCAAATCTGGATGTATAACCTACAATTAAAGAAACAATTTTTCAGAAGTAACCACTCCTTGGGCAACATTTTCAAAACTTTTTCTTAAAAAAGAATCTACCACAAACACATCTCACATTAAATGCTACAGAGAGTTTGCAATATATTTAGTCCAATAACTGTCTCCATCAAGGAGAAAGAGCCAACAATCCTGACTATAGTGGGAAAGGCCCTATGAAGTAAAGCAATACCTGGCTAGCAAAGAATGATAAACCAACCATAAAACAAACCACTCTCCTTTTCCCGAGAACAGAAAGGAGAAATAAGGGAGACTTGGCTGGAGATGTATGACAAAGAACACAGTATAAACTATGAAGGAAACACCTATTTATCAGAAAACAGGTGAAGTTTTTTATTATGTACTCTGTTATGTACGCTCTCTATATATTATTTTATTATGTTCTCTCTTGATAGATAGATAGAGAGAGAGAACATTATATATATGTATAATCAGCAAGTTAGTATTTTCAATCAGAAACTCAATTATGGAAATATATTTAGCTACTGAAATTTAATCTCTGAACTGTAGAGGAAGAGAGAACAACGGCAGACAGTTTCACTAAATAGTTTTAAGCCATCTATGATCAGGAAATTAGACTTACTAAAGAGAGAGCCGTCTGAGTCTGATAGAGCAGAGGTTCTGGGAGCTGGGAAAGATGAATACATTCAGGAACTTTAATTGTACCACCATCCAGGTCTGCTATGATTACATCTAACTGAAAGACACAGAAAAATGCATAACAATTTACCAAATTGTATAACTTTTGTCCTGATGAATATGAACATGTACCCTGTTAGAATATTACAATTGCAACACTGAGCTGATCAGCTGCATGCCATGGTTTAACTATTGATTAGGTTGTGAAAAAACAGGATTTGGACAATTACTCAAATCCTGGATTGCCTCAACAAAATGCTGGTTATGCTGCCTTTGCTCCGTCTCAGAAGCCAGGATATGTACAAGGACAGCACCAGGAAGTAGCCACGATTAATCCAGCATGCTTCATTCCTACATCACATGAAAACACAGTTAAGACAAGCAGTGGTTAACAAACCAACTTCAAACCGTGGTTTCAGATCCTTGTTTGACAATGCCTAATTAATCATGCTTATGGGAGAAGCCTGCATTCAGACAATTCATACTTATTTAATTAAGCCATGGTTTCACATTATGTCTGATCTGAGCCACAGGCTCATTAGGTATTTTGGGAAAAGTCAAATTTCTGAGCTTCAGTTCTCCATCTGTAAAATGAAAATACATAACAAACTCCCTCACAAGATTGCAGTGAAGATCAAAAATATCACAAAGCTCATTTAAACTCATGGAAAATGATGTATTTAATTTTTCACATGTGATCAGCAAACATAATTCTTCAGAAATCTTCCCAGACCATCAAATGCTATCGCTAAACAATTATGTCAATTTTAGTAGTGTTTCATCAAAGCTTACTAAGGTTTAAAATCATCAGTTGTAGTTGAGAGGCCCCCAGAATTCAGACCACAGTAGGTTCAAACATCGTCCTTCAACTCCAATAATTTCAGTAAAATTAATTTTATGGGATTATTTAATACCTTTTGTATTATTTTAAATCCATTCTCTCTTTTATCCACATGCTTATTATAGGTTGCCTTATTATCAAATTATAAAGCTGGTATTAATATTTTGGACTCAGATATTGGTTTGTAGTTAGGGCTGCCAGGTCCCCCGGGAGGGTGGAGGTTGCCTCGCTCAAAGGGTCCCCAATCCTCCGGTTTGGAAATGGCTGGTGGGGGCAACCCCGCCCCAACATATCCGGTTCAGGTCGACATGCCCAACACAATGATGTCACCTGGAGGTGATGTCATCACGTTGGGCACGTCGCCAGCTGAAGCTCTAGCAATCTGCCTGAAAACTTTATGGTACCATAGAGTTTCCAGGCTGATTGCTAGAGTGTCAGCTGGCGACATGCTCAACGTGATGACGTCACTTCCAGGTGACATCATCGCGGTGTGCTCATGCACAAATGTCCTGGCCAGGGACCAACTCTCCCCCGCTTTTAACAGTAAGTAACTTGGCAACCCTATTTGTGGTACATTTTAAGAATTAATAAAAAAACAGGACATACTTACGAGTTCATGAATGTCATTATGGAAGACAGAATGCACGCCAATAATAAATGGTGTGGGCGAACTAAGAACTTCCAGCAGCTGTGCAGGGAGAATTGGAATGTACGGGTAACTGGGAAGAAGTGAAGCAAATAAATAAATAACTATATTTTATTACAGACGCATGTATTTATAAAGTAGCTTTGTGTGTGGTATACGCATCATATGCATATATGAAATGTTTTTAGAATTTGTTATTTAAACTTTAGTAACTAAGCCATGTTTATAGGACCAAGTTACCTCTATGGCTTGCACCCTCCCCCCCAAAAAAACTTGTTTATCTAAATATATTTTAATGTGACCTTTTCCAATGACAACTGAACACAATGATAGTATTCAGTATTTACAAGAAACCTCTGTTGTTCTTTATGTGTACAAATGCATCCTGTTGCTATGTTTATGCAATCCCTTTTCTCCTCCCCTTCTCTATCCCCCTTCCCTTTCCTTCTTGGTTTTGGGAGTCTTTAAACTCCAGAATTGCCCTGGTAAATGTGGGATTCTGGTCAAAACATAGTTTGTTTCCTTCTGCAAATTGGGATTCTAAACCATGCTTGAACTATAATTCATGAGGTAGAAAACATGGATCTGACCAGGCACCTGCATTCTAGCATCATGGAAAACTGAAGTTTGAAATCTTTAGAAGAAGGAAGGTTTCAATCACTGAATGACATCAGAAAGCAGCCAGTGCTTTAATAAAATATTTCAGCTACTTTGAAGTCTACTATCAAGACTGAAAACAATCCCCTTTGAGATTACTACTACTGTACATTGTTTTCACCTCTCTATTCTCTAAGGAGTTCAAGTAGATCCACTTGCTTCTTTACCACCACTCCTTTAGCCTTACAACTTAGAAATAGCCAGTGTGGTGCAATAATTAAAGTTTTTGCCTCAGATCATGGAGATATGGTTTCAAATTTGCATTCAGTAATGAAGTTCATCATCTGATGTTGGGCCAGTCATTCACTGTCAGCCTAACATGGGGTTGTTGTAACCAGGGGTCATTTCCTGCAGGAGTGCACAGGAGCGGAGCTCCGGCAGTAAGGAGCCCAGGGGGCGGGCACATGCAACAAGCCCCACCCCCTGCTCCAAGCAGCCCTCTGTTGGGCCACAAGGAGCAAGCAGCAGCCAGGTAAGTTGCAGAGCCCCCCCCCCCCGCCTTCAAGTACAAGCTCTCTCTCCTCTGTGAGGGCAGATCTGTGCGTCGATCGGCATGCCCCCCCCCCCCAATAGCTAGCAATCCATAACAGTCCAGTGGCGCCTGAGTGGTGGGTGTTGCCTTCAGTTGTCAGGGGGTGTGGCATATGCAAATAAGTTATGTAAATGAGCTCCTGCAGCTCTTTTTCTACAAAACGACCCCTGGTTGTAACAATAAATCTAAAGAAGGGAGGAACCATGTATATTATCATAAGCAACTTGGAGGAAGAGAGACATAAACTGTATATGTCATAGAAGGAGATTAGGCTGAAAGAAAGTGAATGACCCAAGGTCACCCAGGAATTTGAACTCAGGTCTCATTGGCATTCTAGCCACTGCAACATACCGGCTCTATCATTAAAGGTTAAATAAAATGCCCAATCTACAAGCATTTTTAGTTTAATCTAATACATTCTAAATTGTTTTTCCATGCATTTTTAAAAGATGTGTCTAAATTATACATAATCTGGGGTCACCTAATTTGAGACTAGAAACACTTTAATGAGTTAAAATAATCAAAGTCAAGACAGCTAGTTAATTATGTATTTTGTTAACTACCTAATATAGCATGTTTGAAAGAAAACTACATATTTGTTTAGAAAATTTAGGACATGTAGCAGTCATTTCAGTAATTCACCCTATTAAAAAGAAATCTAACAACATTAACTGATCCAATGAAGTTAGGTGCATTTGAATAAAACCTCTTAGAATCCCAGATGTGATCATGGATGTGACTGTACATATTCTGAGTGGATGCCATATGTGCACATGTTTAGTATGCCACAACCTGTCCCCATTCAGCTAGATTCCATTCCTAGCTTCCCCAGTGAGAAACTATTTCAAAACAAGGAATCTGCCTGGAATCCAGAATACGGGTAAGGACTGAAATCAGTGTATACACTCATTGTGAATGTCCTCAGGTTTGCCCAGGAGTGAGAAGAATCTAATTAAAAAATACAATATTCTTAATAGCCCTTCTTAGAGTTCAGTGCTCTAAAGGTTCACTTGTTACAACTCTGAAACTCTGGCTTCAATCCTGCAGATGGAAATCATTTTACCCATGGAAACGCTGTGCTGGATTCAAGAGCATGTTCTTTTTTATTCTGTACTCAGTTCTGACTTTTAGTTGAAAATATAACATTGAAGTGCTTTTTTCGCTGGTTACAAAATTAACAAGTGTGCTGACACATTTATTATCTTTTTTGGAATAATGTATTGGAAGGGATGTTTTTAGTTAGGATGGAAATTCAGGATTTTTGAATTTCAGTCACAACACTAAAACCTAAATGGAAATAGTTCTGTGCAAGTGTTCTTTGACTTGACCCTGGAAACTGAGTTGTTGAGAGCCACAACAGGATACCAAAACTAGATTTCCCTTAGGCATTTCCTCACATCAACCAAGCCTCATATGAAAACAAGTAACTTCATTTTAACATGACTTGGAGCTGCGGTGGCTCAAGTGGTTAAGACGCTGAACTGCAGGCTGTGGAAGGTCAGTAGTTCAGCAGTTCGAGACCCGAGTTGCCGTGTGACGGAGTGAGCTCCCGTCTCTAGTTCCAGCTCCTGCCAACCTAGCAGTTCAAAAGCAAGAAACTGCAAGTAGATAAATAGGTACCACTTCAGTAGGAAGGTAACAGTGTTCCGTGCGCCTTGGTGTTTAGTCATGCCAGCCACATGACCACGGAAACATCTTCGGTCAGCGCTGGCTCTTCGGCTTTGAAACGGAGATGAGCACCGCAACCCTAGAGTCGGATTCGACTGGCTTTCGAGCAAGGGAACCGTTACCTTTACCTGTCCAGTTCTATGGGCACACAGGGTACCCGGACCACTGGAATTTTGCTTCCCTAGTCTTGGCAGCCCTGTTTGGAAAAGAGGGAAAGCTGAACAATATATAGTAATTTTTTTTTAAATGAGAAAAAGCCTTGTATAAGCCTTGAGACAACAAATATGAAGAACAATGACAAATGTTAAAAATATGTATTTCAGTTTCAGAGTTTCACAAGAAGGCTTACCTGTATTTTAGGGGATACATTAGTGACTCTAGAGCTCTACAGGCATCGCTCAGTCTTTGGTAACTTGCAGAATGAAAAAGAACCTTATTTTCTGTAAGGACTGCACAGAACAGGCTCAGCACATTTTGAATCCCTTTGTTAAAAGAATAAGATATTTAAGTTATAAATGTACTGCTGGAAAAGAGAAAAAATAGATGAAATGATTCTTGGTCTCACTTTAGGAACACCTATGGTAAGAATACAACATGCTACATCTAGGGCATTTTCTCTTTTCTGTGACTGTCAGTTTTGTTTTGTTTTAAGTTGGCATACCACACTATGATTATTTTGCTATTTTCGGAATATTACCTTTATACCACTTTCAAGATATTTTATTCTATTTTCTTAACAGTGCTTAGCAGGGACCTCAAAAGTATTTTGTATAGGAACTTCTGCGTTGGGAGCTGGACATGTTATCAACCAGGTTTAATGTATGCAACGTTGCACAATGTATCTCAATACATCGGACTGGTATCATTGAGAAAATAATTCAAAATGCTCGCGCTACCCAAACTTATACATAATTTTTTTTGACTGAAAGTCATGAGTCTGAACTGAAGCCAGCATGAGGCATGTGAGAAACTGCAGAAGATTCGCTAACTGAAATATTTAACCAGCTCCTGCAAGAACTAATGATTCAGATACAAATAAAAATCGCAAAAGGTAATCTACTACAGCTATAGACCATATCCTTATGTGATCTAATGTACTGCTTATTACTACAGTCTTGTATCCTAAGGCACACTTCTGCCAGCACAAAACAAAGTTGCACTTACCTGCAACTATTGTTCACCAAGTATCTTCTGTGCAGGCACACATGGGGACTGCGCATGAGCAGGCCTGCCATCAGAGAGGTTTTTACGCTAAAAGCCTCTAGGGAACAGTGCACCGGAGCCAGAAACTTGTTCCACGTGCTCCTGCGCAGCAGTGCACCACCCTCAGTACCTCTTACATAGCCAAAGCCAGCGCATGCCAGCAAGGCAGGAGGGAGGGTATGTGTGCCTGCACAGAAGATACTCGATGAACAATAGTTACAGGTAAGTGCAACTTTGTTTTCATCACTGATCTTCTATGTAGTCCCACACGGATTCTAGCAAGCTACTCATCAGGTGGTGGGGCATGCTCTCCTCGCTTGAACAATGTATGAAATATTGCCTTTCCCACTTGAGCCTGCAGATCTAAAGTGTAGTGGCATATGAACGTGTCTGCTGATGACCAAGTAGCAGCATGGCAGATCTCTATCAGTGGTACTCCATTGAAGAAAGCTGCCGAAGAAGCTATAGCTCTCATAGAATGAGCATGAACAGGGCTATTTTGGGGCAAGAACGCACAGGAACGGAGTTCCGGCTGGCTCCCAAGTTGGCCACGCCCAGCAGGAACTCATTAGCATAATAGGCCACACCCAACAGCAGAAACTCATTAGGATTGGCTACATTAGGGGTGTGTGGCCTAACATGCAAAGGAGTTCCTGCTACAAAAAAAGCCCTGGGTTTTGTCAACAAACAAGGTAAACAGAATAACAAGCAAAAGGTGGGTGTGGCTGGATAACCACACTTCTGGTAACATGGGTGTGTGGCCTAATGTGCTAATGAGCTGTGCTGTCAGGGGTGTGGCCCAATATGCTAATGAGTTCCTGCTGTTGGGTGTGGCCTATTATGCTAATGAGTTCCTGCTGGGCTTTTTCTACAAAAAGAGCATGAATGTTTAGCGGGCAGAGCAACCTGGCAAAACCATAGCATTCCCTAATGATTGAGACAATCCACCAGGACAAAGTTTGAGATGAAGTCCTCTTTCCTCTATTAGGACCTGTCAGCCTCCGTGTTTAAGTTCCCAGGAATATGGATGGCCTGAATGGAAGCATTCACCTTCAGTGCTATGAACCAGGTCAGAGTAGTCTCCTGGCACAGACTCTTGGACTCTGTGCCCCCTTGCTTGTTTAAATAAAACACTGTTTGGACAAATGTGGACCAGTTCCACAGGGTATCTGAAAAACAGCTAAGGGCATAAAGAACAGCCCGCAACTCTAGCAGATTAATATGAAACTGTCTCTCATCTTCTGACCATGTATCCTTTGCAGACAATCCCTCACAGTGGGTGCCCCATCCCAAGAGTGAAGTGTCTGTAGTAAGGACGACTTCATGCTCAGGAACTCCAAAGGAAATGCCCTGGGATAAATTGTTTTAAGATAGCCACCACGACAAAGAATGGACAACAAGTCTGGGAACAGAAAATCTATGCCATTGGGTATGTAAACCTTCTCTACAACAGGACAGAAACCACAGCCAGTTTGGTGTACTGGTTATGAGTGGCAGACTCTTATCTGGAGTACCAGGTTTGATTCCCCAGTCCTCCACATACAGCCAGCTGGGTGACCTTGAATCAGTCACAGTTCTCTCAGAGCTGTTCACTCAAGAGCAGTTCTCTCAGAGCTCTCTCAGCCCCACCTACCCCACAGGGCATCTGTTGTGGGGAGAGGAAGGGAAGGAGATTGTAAGCTGCTCTGAGACTCTGAGTGAAGGGTGGGGTATAAATCCAACTCTTCTTCAGAGCTGTAGGGGCCGCATATAGAAGCCATATACCCCCAAAGTCAAAGGATTTTCCTAACTGATTGGAGCCGGTTCAATCTAAACTGTCTAACTAAAACAGAAATGACGTGCACTCTGCCAGGGGGCAAGAAACTATTTCCTGCTATGGAATCCAACGTGACCCCTATAAATTGTATCCTCTGGGATGGGACTAAATGTGACTTCTCCCAATTCACAAGGAGTCCCAATCTTTGGCAGGTCTCCAAAAACTAGGGAGCAATGCCTCAATAATTGTCCTCTGGAGTCAGCCTCCAACAGCCAATCATCCAAGAAAAGGGAATATATGGTAACCTTGCAAATGAAGGTAGGCAATCACTGGGGCTAAACACTTCGAAAATACCCTGGCTGCTGTGGCCAAACCAAAAGGCAAAATAGTGTACTGGAACACACACATCCCACAAGAAAAGAGTAGGAATTTACGGTGTTGAGGATGGATGGAAATGTGAAAGTAAGCATCTTTCAAGTCAATAAGGATAAACCAACAGTTGAACTTTAATAACTGTAAAATTGAAGGAATGGAAACCATGTAGAACTTTGGCTGCGGTCACACGGAGCATTAGCCACGCTACAAAGACGGGAAGCGTAGAGCTCCCGTGGCTAACCCGAGGCTTCCCGCCGAAGATGCGGCGTAAAAAACTAGTACCTCCGAAGTACTAGTTTCCGGAAACTGCGGGGCAAGGGCAGGCGTCTGATTGCGTTTCTGGTGGTAGTTCGTGGCATCCGGCGCCTGCCCATGTCCCGTCACTAAAAGTCCCCCCCCAAGTCTCCATGGGATGCGCACAAGCACCCAATGGCGCATGCACACACTTCGGTTTAAAAAAACACCAAACCCCGTTTGCCACGGTAGTGGCGCCTAGCCATTGCTGCTGTGATCGCACCGCGCCGCTTCTTTGCCACGCCGCAGGATTGTCGTGTGATCGGCACCTCCCCCCGAACGACGGGACATCAGCGGGACGTGTGATCCGGCGGCCGCACGTTAGTTTGCTCCGGGGCAAACAGCCACGCTCCCCCCCCCACATTTTCCAGCCTGTGTGACCGGGGCCTAAGATGCACAAAGAAAAAAAATTCAAACTTCTGAGGTCCAGAATGGATCTAATCCCCCCCCGCCGCCTGAATTGGGATGGGCCCGCTTGTGATAACTCCAATGACTTAGCTGTCTGCTTGTTTTTCTTTATCAGGGAAAGCCAGGGGTCATTTGGGGGGGGACGCGGGGGGACACCATCCCCCCGGGTGAGGTGCGGGAGGGCGGGGCCTGGAGCTCCCTGCTGGTGCCCGCTGGAGGTCGCCGCCGGCTGTGGGGAGGACACACTTCCGGTGATGTCAGGGGGTGTGGCATATGCTAATGAGTTATGCTAATGAGTCCCCCTAGCTCTTTTTCTACGAAATGACCCCTGGGGAAAGCATTTCTTCAGTCCCAGTAGAAAAAAGTGTCAAACCCTCGAAAGGCAAGTCCTCAATCTTGTGCTTGGTCTCTACGGACAATGCTGTTGATCTTAAGCAAGAGTGGAGTCTCAGTAAGATAGAACTTAACATGGTGCGTGCCACAGAATTCGCGGAATGCTGACCTGCATTAATCTGCTGCTTCAAGAGTTTCAAGGCAGACAGGAGCACATTGTTGAGACACAGATTTACGTTTGTCCTTATCCTTAGACTTGTTTTTTTCCATCTAAGCTGGTGGCTTGGAAGAGGTGCAATGAGCTGGAGGGGAGTGCGACCTGGATTGGACTTGTTGCAACAGGGATCCAGGAGGGGGAGCTGAACGTGTCGATTCTGAGGACGTGGCAATGGGTAATTTTTCTGGGGCTGACTTGGATGACAGCTCCGAAGCTTTGAGGGCTTTCTCCCACAATGTTGCTTTAAGTTTTGATGCCCTATCCCCCCGAGCTTTGGGGATGAAGTGCTGGCACACCTTACATGTGGGAAGATTGTGCCCTTCACCCCACAACAGGTGCATTTTTTGGAAAGGGCTTTCTGAGCCATAGTACAAACTCAGAAGCCAGAACAACCCCAAAGAACCAGGGTCCTAGAGACTCCAAAAATGCAACCTTCTCCTTCAGAAGCAAAAGAGGAACAAAGGCTGTGGTCACATGGAGCATTAGCCACGCTACAGAGATGGAAGATAGGCAGATTTTCCGGGCGCGATCACACCACAACATCTGGGAAGCGTAGAGCTCCCATGGCTATCCCGAGGCTTCCTGCCGAAGATGCAATGTAAAAAACTAGTACCTCTGAGGTACTAGTTTCCGGAAACCGCGGGCCGAGGGCGCGCGTCTGATCGCGTTCCTGGTGGACTTATGTGGCATCCAGCTCCCAGCTCCGCAGGTTGCGCAACAGCGCCCAACAGCGCATGCGCACAAAGAGCGATTGCTAGTGCGATCGCGCAGCGCGGCTTCTATGCCGCGCTGCAGGATACCTGTCTGGTTGGCATCTCCCCCCTAACCACGGGATCTCGACCGGGACGTGTGCTCGGGCAGCTGCGCATTAGTTTCCTCTGGGCCAATTAGCCACG